TTTCAATCAATTTAATTATATTGCTAAAATATTATGTATTACTAGTAACAACGAAATATAGCGCATATAATTGCCTAAAAACTACGCAGTAATTTGTTAATATTTGACCGATAACACGTCATCATTTAAAATCGTTGAATCTTGACCAATTGAATTAAAGTAGCTTTTAAATGTCGAGAGTAGAGCAGGCTTAATTTATGTAATAAATAATCATGAAAATATATTCAAAACAAAAAAAAAACATGTAAATAAGTTATCCTTATCAAAATCTTATAAATGTATAATAAACTATATATTGTTTAAATTGTTGACGAACATGACATAAGAGATACGTTTAAACGTTAAGTTTCGGTATTTATAATTCCAACTCAGGCGGGTGGAAATATTTTAATTTATATACACAGATAACCGTCGATATGTATCATGAATATAAATGAGTCGAGTTGAGACAAAAAACAAGATGTGTTTGAGGAGAAATAATAAGAGGCGATCGTCTAGCCGGCATCGTCCTTGAGTGCAGAAATCCTTGATGAGTACAATCAACCGCCACCGGATAGTCGTCTCAGTTCAGGGCTGCCAATTAATAAGTTATTAATTTTATTAACCAGATCCAGATGTCAGGATCAGGTCTTTTTTTCAAATATCTAGTTGGCGTTTTACATAAATTGTCTTGAGTCAAATTGCCAAGAAGTAGAAATTATAATTTGAATGAACAAAAAAAATGAACCAATCATGTATAATGTTATAAATTAAATTAATGAGGCTACAAGAAACAGGATTGTTTGAAAAAAAAATAGGCAATAAAATCGACTGCTATAACACAATATTGGTAATTTATTGCATTGAAGTCTTGTTGATGGACCCTATTCAATTAAACATTTTTTTATAACCAACCCTACATTATCGATGTTGCGTAGGTGCTGGCAAGTGTGACGACAAAAACTAACACTGAAAATAAATGGGTGCGAATCGCCTATTAGCGTTGTGGTCGCTGACTATTCTCGACTCTATCCGACGCCGACCACTATCCGTATTTGTAAATATGTAAGTCGATTGTACGCACCTCTGGGAGGTGGAAATATCAAGTTATTCGTGGCATTCCGTTGTTAATTGATGCCGACTACTGCATTGCTGCAGGAGGGTTGAAAAGGTGGGTAATTTACACCGGTTGAATGCTGACATAAATGTTTACATATGATACATATTTTCAAAAATTAAACATAAGCTTTATCTCAGGAAATCCACTTGGATCATGTTGTTAAGTTCACTCCCTAAATAATTTCCTCATAACTATTTATAAATAAACACAATTTGAATTAAGTGTAATTTTCTCCAGCAAAGATTTCCGGCAGCGAACATTTATCTCTCCGTGTATTATCGCGGCGAGTACGTAAATATGTCACGCTTAAAATTCAGTCGCAGCTTAAATTGAATTTAACTCAAGCCACGACCTGTCAACTTATCGAATATAAATTCACTTAATAATCTTTACCAATTACGTGAGCGTTCAGCCTCGTAGTATACTATTAATGTTTATAGAAATGCTTCAACAGACGATTACTGCGAAGGATTAAGATCTTTTTGCGGCGGTGTGTAAGGGAGAAAATGAACTGTCAATGTGAGGTTGATTGGTCTTTAAGGCCTGTGAGGCGCGCCAGCCGGTTCGCTGCCGGCACCATGAGATATGCTGGACGTTATGAAACCATCGCTGACAAACTGCGAATTACAGTCTGGGAGACTCGACTGAGTTCAACGACAGAAAACTTTACTATACCTATGTAATAGATCCTACATTACAATCATCATTATTTGGAAAAATAAAACTGGTATTTTTTGAAAGTGAATATTGTATAGTTTCATACCTACTAGGTAATCGGATATTTGCATGCGACCGTACCGCTTTCAATGTCAATACTTGATTGTCTGTCACAACAGCTCTCACAACATAGTCCACAGTCAATGTCAGTCAAGTTCACGGCTTTTTTCATTCCTTTTACAATAGTTCCTCTATCTGTATTTTTTGCCCAGCTATCCATACAATTGTGCAACGGCGCCCTTTCTCTTGCCATTAGGCATTCTTTGCCGCAATTCACATTTATTGCTTTCAATTATCTAAATGCTATTATTAGGTAGATATCATCAGTTGTATATGCAACAAGCCACTTTAGAATAATGTTTCTCGTTACAAATGTCGAAACAGTTCAATCACGACTAGCGCTTGTTTCGAAGCGAGGAAGGTGCTTTCCATAGTTTCTTTTCATCGTACTGTAGATCTCAACAGAGTATTGTTCTCGACATTTGGCGTGGGGTCGACGATCTGTGCAATCAAGTGTTTGCGCCGACGTCTAATGACGAAAATAGATTTTACATGAGCATTCCGTCATTCTCTCAACTATTAGGTGACAAATTAAAGAAAAAATAATAGCGAAAACATCTTATTATTCACATATTATTTTAAAGTTTCTTCATTTATCAGCGCAACACTTTTACTAATAGGCGACCAGATAGTTTGCGTGATAATAGTTGGGGCATATTTTGATCAGTCGTTTGTTGTAGGAAATGGGGAGTATAGGTAGGCATTTATATTTTTCGTCTGATAAAATAAGACTTTATTTTCTAATTCGATAATTGGCCTAACGAAGATTATATCAAATAAACCTGAAATAATGATGATCGTCACAATTTAGATACCTAGTGTGTGATACGGTTTGTGTTTGTTTAGTGGTTCGCTGTCAGATATAAATCTCCGTAGATCACGAGGTCGTTAATGTGATATTCGTGTTGGCGTCGGCTGAGATACAGTACCGTTACCCTATTGTCGATTCAAATGCACAAAGCTTTCATATTTGTCTGTTGTGATTGTATGATTTAGTTCCGTTCACCACTTATGACTAACAGCCTAGTCTACTTATGATCAGGCTTTGTTGTATGAACTAAATGCACAATTTTATGGGTTATTCAAATAGCGTAGGCAGGTTTTCTGTAATAAAAAGCAACCTGGCGTCGCCGTTGGTTATGGGGTAGTTGCCGCAGTATTTGATATGCGAGCCGTGATAAGACTCGGCCACACGACACTTGCTCAACCCCTTCCAGTGCAGAGGGTTGCTCGCCCTTCCGCCTTATTGATTAACACCCTCGGACAAATCAACTTAATGATGAAAACAACACACGTTGAAGCTTGTTCATTTGTTAATGCTTTTTGTGGTTACTGACAACACATTAATGTCAAAAGTTATATGGTTTTATAATCTGTAGGAATCAGCTTACATTTTCAGACTGTAGCCATCAAAATCAAAAATATTTTATTCAATTTAGACCACTAGTGGCACTAAGGACATCAATCAGGCGCGTATATTTTAAATTTATAACAACGTTTTAAATAATTTAAAGTCTTTGCTATTGTTTAAAAGTACATATACCTAATAAGGTTTCATGTACAAATGGGCAGTCTGGGTTTAATTGTGGCACTTTATTTACTTGCATATTCTTGCAAACGTTTGGTAAATTAGTTACCAAGGTCCTTTTGAATTTCTTCTTAGGAACAAAAAGTTGTTTCTTTGGCTTCTTCAAAGTCTTCACGACTCGCAGTTTCTGCGAAATTCTATTGACGTATAATTTCTGCTTTAAAATTAGTATTTCACAATTGTTAATTCTTGTTGGATGTTGATACCTAAATCCGTTCCTTATTATTAGTACCACGCGAACGACTTACACCGATGGAGCCGTGTTAGTCGACTACAAGCGTGTTGTAAATCCCTCGCTTTCATTGTGTTATCGAGAATCGTGAGTTGTGCATTCATTCTTGAAAAGGCAAACCTGGTAGATATAGGAGGACAAATACATGCTTGCGCAGTGTACACATCAATGCTATTTGTAAGAGATGTAACTGTATATTTATAGTGACTCGTAAATCGACGGTATAGACACGTACAAGTATACAGACGAATATACAGGGTGTTAGGTAAATGGGTATATGAGCAGACACTAGCCCATGTTAACATGGGCATATAAATGGTATGGTGAAGTCAGAAATTTGATATCATCATTTTAATTTTTTTAATTTTCATACAAAATATTTTTTATAAATCCGATTTGTATGGAAATTAAAATAATTAAAATGAAGATATCAATTTTCTGACTTCACCATACCATTTATATGACCATGTTAACATGGGCTAGTGTCTGCTCATATACCCATCATTTTAATTTTTTTAATTTTCATACAAAATATTTTTTATAAATCCGATTTGTATGGAAATTAAAATAATTAAAATGAAGATATCAATTTTCTGACTTCACCATACCATTTATATGACCATGTTAACATGGGCTAGTGTCGGCTCATATACCCATTTACCTAACACCCTGTATAGGTTTGACTGTGCAAATAATATACTAGTATGTAAATGTTGGATTTGTGTGCTTATTAGACGCGTCGTTAAAATTTGTGCAACGATATGAGATATGAATGGGTAGTTGCGAGTGTAAACGTGTGTATTGCGGTCAGTGAGGGACAGTCTTGCGCCACTCGAGTGTCGGTTGCGCCAAATCAATCCGAGTCTTGAGCGCTAATGCTACCTCTCGTGAGACGTGGAATTAGTGCTTTACTTTTCCTCGTTGCGACTACGACTAAATGTAGTCATTACTTCAGGTAGCCTAGAAACCGGGCTACTTAATGTAAATCACATTTCCACGTTGAACATTGGCATGTCTAATTGTCTGCCCTTCTAAAATTTTCAAACGACGGATGATTAGAAATTATAGTTATAATGAGTGCGAAGATATTTCTGGAGTTTTAAGTACTACTGTACTGTCTTAAAAAGCCACGATAGCAGAACGGTGAAGGGGTGGAACTGGCTCTCAACTCGTGATCCGGGGAACGCGGGTTCGGTCCCCGCCGCCGCTCGACTATTGTAGTGAGCTCACTCGTGATACAAGCGTATTTAGCTTAGTACGAGGGGCTAATGGGACTATAAAAAAACATAACTTTTTGGTTACAGTTCTTGTCACCTCTGGAAGAGAGCGCGGCGTGCGGTAGCAGCACGTCCTCGTCCACTTCGTCCTCGTCATCGTCGTCGTCTTCGTCCTCGTCGTCGTCCTCGGACTCCGACACAGCGGACGCCGCTGGCGGCTCCGCTCACGCCTCCGCCGAGGACTCTAGTGCTGCGCTCGCTGCCGCTTGTCCGTTGCAGGTATATCACAATTACACTACTTCAAAACACTTGTCCATTGAAATACTATACCACGTCTGAATGTCTTGTAGTTTCGTATTATCAACCAATAAAACTAACTCTTTTCTATTAGTACTTTGACCCGACACGCTTTTACCAGGTCATCGACGATGCGGACCTCGCGGAACTATTTCCAGAACAAACATCGAGCGCGCCGGCGCAACAGCCTAATTTCCCGGCCTTCGCCGTGCACAACGCGTCGCCAGACAATGATGACAAGTCCATCGCAGATAATGGTGAGTTATTAATAGAAGTATCTTTCGACTTCATTTGACACTTAATTAGGTAATACTTAAACTAATAAGACAAAAAACTTTTTAGGTGATGGATCAAGCAGCGAAATGGAGCTGACGCCGCAACTCGTGACGCAAGCTATTCAAAGAGCGACGGCTGATTCGTCGAGCTCAGAAAACGAGTGTTCCAACTCGGATGCCGGCCATCCGAACACCACTCATTATGCGTCTAGTCTCTTGCAAGAGTTTGTTGCTCAAACGCAGCTATTGAGCAGTACGGCACCGTTAACGCCTATTAGCGCTGGTGCGGCCTCTACGATACCGTGCGGACTCAATGCAAATCCTATCGATGGCGTTGGGACAATCAGTGATTGCGTTCTGGGTCAGATTAACAACCTCCCAGAAATAACACCAATAGCGCCAAACTTTTTAACATCGCAACATTTGAGTCCGCAGCAGACAGAAGAACTGTCACAAATTAATAAAGACCTAGAAGAGATAACATCTGTGGCTGAATCAGTGGAACTGCAGATACCAAATCCTAGCCTTGATGATTGTGTCGACAATAATGATTTCATGAATCTTGATATATCTCAAGGAGGCTCAGAGCTAGGAAGTGCCAGTGATCTGCTTAAAAGTTCTCCAATAACCGTAGTAGGTACGGATATGGGTTCTATTAATCAATTAGATATGCAAAAACTAGATACGATTAGTACGAATTCAATCGAATCTCAGGAAGACGTTAAAAACGTCATTGTGGAATCTAGACGTAAAAGGGGCCGACCTCGAAAAGTAAGACAGTCGGAAGTGGAATTCGGGAATAAAAACAGGGAATCTCAAAAGGAAGACAAATCTGTTGTCAATGTTATTAATTTCCATAATGTGAATGATCCACCCAATGTATCTCCAGATTCGGGAATTCTATCAAATCATAACTCGCCAACCCATTCACCTCTTAGACGTCACGATGTAGATGAAAATCATAGCAGATTAGGAAGAAAATCTATCCAAAAAGAAAATTCGACGCGGGAAAGGAGAGCAATGAGATCAAAATCGAAAAGCAGAGGTCGCCCACAAAACAGGTCAGATTCTAGCGACTGTGATTACCAAAAAAAGCGAGTGGAAAATGAAATAAAACAAATCAAAACTGAAGCACCTTCCCCAGTTCCACTGAAACAAGAACAAAGCAAGTTTGAGAAGGCAAAAAGAACTGATCAAAAATTGGATATTGCTGCGTTAGATAGAATGTTATACGCTACAGACAGGGTTTTGTATCCGCCAAGGAAAAAAGTGGGTCGAAGACCTCAGAACAAAACAAAAGTAAATAAAAGCACACCAAAAACTTTGAAAGATAAAAATCAATACGATTCTGCCGATAGCGAAGATGATACAGTTGCTACCAATAGATCTGTGCTTTCAGGAGTGTATGCCAAACGAAAAGAACTTAACAGCAAGCTCGCGAATTTACCTAAGAAAAACAATAAATCATTTTCCAACACCTGGCGAGATAATCAAAGTGAAAACGAGGCAGCGGCAGATGATCCTCTAGATCCAACATGGAAGCAAATCGATTTAAACCCTAAATACAAAGACATTCTATCTGGATATAAAAGTGACCACGAGTTTAAGCCTTACAAAAGTTGCAGTAGATTAATAGAATCTGGATACAAAAGCGATTATGGTTGCAGATCGGGCTATAAAAGCGATTACTATCGCTCTGGCTACAAAAGTGACTATAAATCTGGTTATAAAAGTGATAAATCGGGCTATAAAACTGATTACAGTGTTAGAAGTTTGCGTAGAAAAACAAGAAAGCTAAAGAAAACCAGATCTGTTAGAGATAGGTCGTATTACAAAAACCAAAAACATTTTGTATCTGACCAGGAAATATTATTGCTAACTAATAAAACATTTAGTAGCTTGACATTAGGCCACAGTTCCAGTGATTCTGAATGTGATAGTTACTTGAGAAAACCAAATGCCAGTCCAAAATACGTAAGCGTTTGCACAAAGTATCCGCTCCACTCGCAATATAACTTTGGATTCTCTAAAATGAGTAAAAGGCAGTTATTGAGACCCAATTCATCAGATCCATTCGCACCAGGTCCAGTTTTTAGCGGATTTCAACAACCAGTGACAACTTATAATATCTTTAAAGTGGGACATCATAACAATAACAACATTTTGCTTAAATCTCCTACAAAACCTAACAGCTATGTTGGAAGACCACTTCCAGCTTTGAAGCCAGTATTTACACATAAATTTGGAACATCTCCAATATGTACAGCAGCTAAACCTCCAAGTTCAAAAAACAAAGATACTTATCTAACTGGTACGTTATCTCCCAAGAATCGCAAAATGTTGAGAAATGGGACATCAACAAAGAAGGAAAGCCCGCTCAAACCTCTTCCAAGTATATTTGAGAAAGCTAAAAATTCGTATGTCCCAAATAAATCTTTGTCGAGAAACGTATTCCTTAATTTCAAGAAACCTCATTTGAAGCCGACTTTTCACATCAGAAAACATAGAAGAACTGTTGTACTGGCACCACCCAAGATTAATTTGAAACCCATTGAGAGACCGTCACGAATCACTGTGAAAACAGAGAGTAAACATCATAGACATAGAAGTAAAAGAAGGCATCGTTCTCGATCTGTCTCTAAATGCCGCGAGTCTTGCAGTAAAGTTATAGACATGGTTGATCAAAAATTTTGTCAAGATATGGACAACTTGGTTTCAAATTTCATTAAACTGTGTCAAATAGCGCCTAAACTAATAAACAATCCTCCAGTACAAAATCCGACAAAAACAGCGGAAAAACCGGTCGTAGAGACTCCAACTGCTAAGGTCGTAAAGAGGGGTTCAAAGAAACGTAAAACATCGGATAATCAAGAAATAACAACCCCTACTTCCAAAAGAAGACATAAGAAACAATTAACGGAATCTCAAAGTAAAGGTGGTAAAGACACAAATGAACATAAGCTGCCTCTCAAAAAGAGACACTATCATATCAATTCTTCCACAAGTAATTCTCTAAGTCTTAGTTTAGTTACGGCTGAATTTGACGACAATTCTAAAAATGACACCAGTTCAGACCAGTTTTTATGTACTGAGACCGACTGCTTGGCTGAATTACATAATAACATCAATAATGCGTCCGAAGAAACTCCTAAAACAAAAACGGCGCACGAAAAATCAAAGAAGATGAATGAAACTTCAAAAACATCAACTCCTACGCCAGTAGATAACAAAACAAAAACAGAACAAAATGAAATCAAAACACCAAAGTTGACTCCTAATCTAGTATCCGAGACATTAAGCGTGAAAATAGATGAGACTTCTCCTACAGGAACCGCCAAGACACATTCTCCGAGTTCTCTCAATGCTACCGATGATGAATTGGCAATAACAAAACCTACGCCTGAACAATCAGAATTATCCAAGAAAATTTATGAAACGTCTGAGAAATTAAAAGCTGTGCATAAAATGGTACATGATTTGGAAAAATCCTTACCTAAAGCAAAAGATTCAGATGCTAAAGCAGAGACAACGAAACAAGATACACCAAAAATGTCACCTAGATCTGAGACTAAATCGTCTCCATTGAGACATTCAGCGCCTATAGTGACGCCTAAAAAGCGGCATCGGCTCGAGGCTGATAAAGTGGTTACTCATAGCCTTGATCAAGTTGTGCAGTCACTTTCAAAGAAGCTATCGGAAGATAAGCCTGTTATTAGTAATAACAAAGATGTAAATCAAAATAACGCAAAGGAAGAAAATGCTGAGTCTGACAAGTCTGCATCTGTATCGCCTTCAATTTTAGCTCAAGCAAACAATACAAGTCCTGCAGGAGTAGATCCTCTAAAGAGTATGTCAGCAAGAACTTTGTACAAAAGTTCTATTCCACCAGCTCAAAAGTCTGAGATAATGACTCGAAAGAAAAATAGGCTCGAGGGTCTTACTAGTAATTTAGTGTCGAAAATAAATCCTAGTGCAGCTACTAAAGTTTTAGACACATTGCTAAATAATAATATAAGAAAATCTATAGAGTCAAGGATTCTAGAAAAAGAGAAGAATAGCGGCAATTCATCTGACAGTTCCAATAAGCATGATGAGAAAATAAAAATTAAGGAAGTATCACAGATGAACACTAGAGCTACTGTCATCAAATCACCAGTGTCCAAAAATAAACTTATAGATGCTAAAAAGAATAAAGCATCCGAACTTACTATTGATCAAACGATAGTAGTAAACGTTGATAAACCCACTGGAATTTTTGAACCATCAATTGATTTAGAAGATCAAATCCCTAAGTCCTCGATTTGTGTTAATAACGCCTTGTGTGAGACCAATAAGTTGAAATCGAAAACTAAAAATGACAAAAGTTCTAGTGGCTTATTAAGCCCTATTGATACAGAATCTGAAATCCCCTTGGCACTTATATCTGAGACGCCTGATCCCATCATAAGACCTAAAAGAGGAGAATCTATAGCCTCTGTGCTATCTGATAAAATTCAGGAAACAAACGGAGGTCATAATTTGCGACAACCTAAGAGAAATCTAAGTAATGACACCGATGATTCTAACGACAAGAAAAAGAAGAAGACTTCTAATAATATCATCAGAGAAAGCAAATTAGTACTACCATCAAAAATGCTAGTTCCGAAAATACAAGCTGAAAGATTACTGATACTAGATCCAACAAAGAAAATAAGCATTCCCATTAAGAAACCTGAGGTGGAAACAAATGATGTTAAGACATCTGAAACGATGAAGAAAAAAGCTCGAAGGAGAAAAGCAATTAATAGAACTGGGTTTCCTAGTGTTAAGAAGAAAAAGAAGAAAGTGGAACCCAGCAATCAGGGCATTGTCTCTGATAGTCACTTCACGTCTGAAGACACCGATAATAATTCTGTCTTTGAGAGAGTGCCAAAAGATGGTGAAGCTATGAGCAGTTTCTTAGAAAGGACTAATAGTTGTAAAAAACCGGAACTGAAAGTAGTACTAAACAAAGACGAATGTCCAAAGCAGGGCCGTTTGACAGTTGTAGCACTTGAAAAATTACAGGGAAAAGATTTACCTGCTGAATGTAACAAAGCAACTAACAAGTCGCAAACAACGACAGAGAAAAGAAACACGAATTCCTCTATACTTAGGGCACCGGCATTACAGCTCAAACAAAATAAATCTGAAAAAGAACTTCGAAATCATATAAATAAATGGGAAGTGTTAAGCGAGTCGGACAGTATTCCATCGTTGGCCAGTTCAATCAGTAATGATCCAGAGGACAGCATACCATTGAGTCTTTTGAACCTAAATAGTGATCGCCCTGTGGGCCGGTTGGACAACTTAGAAAGGCTGAAAAGGAAGACGAGAGCGATGTCACCATCCCAAGAAATTGAAGAAATATTTTCAAAGAGAAAGGCTGTCGAAAAGAATAATAAAATTGCGTTGAGACCTAAATCTAGTCTCGCCATTTTATACCCGAGCGAAAGGAGACTGACAAGAAGTTCTGACAACAACAACGAAGACCTCAAAAACAAGAACAAAAAATCTGAGGTGAAGAAAGCTGCAGTACTTGAACAAGTTTCTGAAAAATCAAAGCCTGTCAACATATCTGCAAGACGAAAGTCTAGATGCCAAGTTAAGAAAATCCGTGAAGTGCAGTCAAGTTCAAGAGAAAGTTCGCTAGACACGGTCATAAGTAGGAGACTCAACACAAAATCGCGAGAACCTTCCATCGACACCTTGCGTGATCACGACGAAAATGATCCATTACCTTTGAATGAAAAAGAAATTGATTTTGAAAAGAGCATTGATGTGCTTTCGAAGAATGTAATTTGTAAGAAGAGAGTGGCTTCTTCTCGAGATGACAGTCCAGCAAGTAGTGTCGATAACAGGGAAAAGCCTGTTGTCTCAAAGAGAAACCCGCGTCTCAGGAAAAAGTTCTTGGTAGCGGGACTTTTCTCAGACTACTACAAAGACGAGTAAGTTGCCTTTATTTTGGATTTTCACAATACAATGTATCTCATTGAATTGTATTCATATTTGATTTATTTTTTAGTCCGAAGCCCGAAGGGAAAGGAAAGAACCTCGTCACTCAAACAGAGTTTCCGCCTGGCCTGCTCGCGCCGCCACCTTATTGCGAGCGATGGGTTCGCCGTCGATTACAACATTTCTCTCTGCCTTACGACATCTGGTGGCAGCAACATTATAATCAGCCCGTGCCTTCGTGGAACTACAAAAAGATTCGTACAAGTATGTTGAGTCATATTTCTGTTACACGTTTTCACTAAAACGAGAAAGCATAGTTATTGATGTATTTCATTTTCAGATGTGTACTATGACGTTAAGCCTTCAGCCGAGGAATGTGAAAGCGTCGCTTGCAACTGTGCGCCTGCGTCTGGCTGTAACGAGGACTGTATAAACAGGCTGGTCTTTTCCGAATGTTCTCCACAGCTGTGTCCATGCGGGTAAATAAATACATTTGAATCCTAAATAATAAACGCAAGTTATAAGAAATTCTTTATTTCATTATTATTTTCATTGAAATAAATACTGTTTCATAACCGATTTTGTCGTTTTAAGCGATAGATGCAAGAACCAACGCATTCAGCGCCATGAGTGGGCCTCTGGGCTTGAGAAGTTCATGACGGAGAACAAAGGATGGGGCGTGCGCACCAAGCACAAGATACCTTCGGGCGACTTCATACTGGAGTATGTTGGCGAAGTGGTGTCTGACAAAGAATTCAAGGTGAGAAGTAGCATTAATATACGCTAGTAATATTAGTCAATACATTTATCCTACTCAAATTATATGCTAAATCAGTTTTGTAGTATCTTAAGTAGTTGTAACAAGAGCCATTTTGCAACAAACATTATACAGTTAGATGTACCCTTCATTACTATCAATCTATTCCAATACAACTGTTGTTTCCCGCGATTTTCACTTAACACAAAACACTACATTTCATTGACCGAAAATATCACATTATTATGGGTGGATTTGACTAAACAAGAGTAGGAATAAATATTAATCTCAGAATAAATCGTCAGTTATTCGAGATTTTGACATATTTCCCTACTGAAACTGTCAATGTGCCAGTTATACCAGGAGTTATTCTCGGATAAAAGTAAGATCAAATCGGGCCTCGGTTGTATTTCCCAGGAGCGCATGGCGACGCGTTACGCGCGTGACACGCACCATTACTGCCTACACCTGGACGGCGGGCTGGTCATAGACGGCCACCGCATGGGCGGCGACGGACGCTTCGTCAACCACTCCTGCCGGCCCAACTGCGAGATGCAGAAGTGGACCTCCAATGGTTGGTATTGTGTCGGGAGATCCACCATTCTTTGTAGATGAATTAGATCGAATGTCTCCTTCTATTTTAATGTCTTACGCCCGTATTCACACACGATACTTGCTTAAGTGAAGCAGCAAATCGAACGCACAACGTTGAGTAGAGCTCTGTGATTGGTTTGTGTGACCCTGTGCGTCCACGCGCACTGTCTCAAAGTAATGTTTGTGAATACGGGCGTTAGATGCGTGAGGCTTTTGAACCGTTTTTATTGAATTTCAGCCGTTGTAAACTAAGGTTCTAGATATTGATTTAATTTAAGACTAATCAATTTAGTTTCCTTTTGTAATCAAAATAATTCAATAAAACTTTTCTTTTGCTTTAGATTTATCTGTAAAAGTAGAATTCTTGTAGCTACCTGTCCTTTGTGTATCTCAAGTTCGTGAAGAAAGGCCAGGTAGGTTTCAAACGTACGACAGTTCTATAACATTAGGTACCTATGACTAATACCACATAATAATAATAAGTTGCTAATATTCGTACATGAAGAAATTGTGTAAATTTGTCACACACGATTCCTACAGCAGTGTGAAATCTGCTCAATAACGAATACTTTCTTTCGTTAACGTAATCAAACTTTCTTTTTTAAAATCCAGGTACGTTCAGAATGGCGCTTTTCGCTCTGCGTGATATTGAACCGGACGAGGAACTGACGTACGACTACAACTTCTCTCTGTTCAACCCTGCTGTCGGTCAGGTAAATATCTATTCTAAGCCTTGTGGCATAATAATGAGTATTGCATACTTGTTGAGTGGTGGTGGTGCTTTAAAATAGTTTCTAATCTACTATTTACGTTTTTTCAGCCATGCAAATGCGATTCGGAAGATTGCCGCGGCGTAATAGGCGGGAAATCTCAGCGGATCACCAAGCAGCCTGTGAAGACTCAATCTCGAACACCCTCAAACGCCTCCAACCAGTCGCAAGGCTCGAACGGCAATCAGCCGCGCGTGGGTCGTCCGCGGAAGGCTGTCAAATGCAACAAGAAGTCCGAGCAGCAGACCGTGACTGCGTGCGACATCAAGAACATGACGATCCTGAACAAGTACCAGCAGCATCTGAACAGACTGTGGCAGGAGCCGCAGATGAAGCCGCTCACGGCTAAGGAAAGGAGCGTGGTCAAGGAGAGGCACTGTTTCCTGTTCAGAAACCTTGAAAATGTAAGTGAAAACTAATATAAATCATATTTTATGTAAAATAGTTTAAATTGAATAATCTACTTAAAACGCAGTCGCCCAGCACCCGACAGGTCATGGCCTATGCTCGTGTACTGTGCACAGTGCGCGTGGACGCACAGAGTCATAAACAAACCAATCACAGATTCAACGCTGTGCGGTCGATTTGCTGCTTTACTTAAGCAAACATCGTTTGTAAAACGGGTGTTAGACTTCTATTTAAGACTACCTTTTTAGTGAAATGAACTACGTTAATTGACAACATTTTTAAACACCCAACTTCTGCTTTTTACTAACTACCTTCAGATTATCGATTTCTGTCCTTTGTCTTTTTGCACCATAAACAGATGTTTCACTGAGAGATAATCAATATTTCTAACCCATACTTATCTCCGCCACAGGTCCGCCGCATCCGAGACCGTCTCTCCATAGGGTTGCCGCCATCGCCACCGGCCTGCCAAGCTCCCACGCCAGCTTTACCAGCCCTGCCAGCGCCGCCGACACCGGCGCCTCCTACCACAGTATCAACCAACTCCAACATCAACCCATTAGCACTTCCTGATACTATGAACTCGGAGGTGTTCCTAGCGAGATTACACGCCCTTCGAGCGTCTAAAGAGGACACGGTGAAAAACCTCGTGCGGTTGGATGATGAGCCTACGTTGGATAAGGGCACGCGGCTGAAGAAGGTCTTCCAGGCGCTGTATAACGCTATTGTGGCTGTAAAAGGTATGATAAAGTCTGTTTATGAAACTGGCTTTAGTTAAGCACTGGCCTGAAAATAAGAGAACAACTTAGCTTGGTAGACATACATTTTACTTATATTCAATCAGAATTTTGGTACTCTTGTCTACAATATATGAGATTAAATACTCAACTTAGGACATCGGAGACATCGGACATTTAAAAATATCTTGGGAAAATTGGTTTCGCACACTTCGCACCTTACTATGCATATAATGAAGTAATATCTCGCCTCTAAAATACTGAACCGCATCATTATCATAGACTTTCCCATTAAGTACATCAAAATTTCCAGACGACAAAGACAAGCTCCTCTGCGCGCCATTCATGAAGAGCAAGACCAAGAGCCAAGAGGCGGGCCAGCCGGCGGCGGACTTGGCCACTATCGAGGCGAACTTGGCGCGAGGACACTACGAGACCGTGGCGCAGTTTGACGCAGACGTGTGCGCTGTGTTGGCGGCTGCTATGCGCGAACATGGCCGCCTTTCTGCGTTAGGAAGTGTAGCTGTGCAGCTGAAAAAGGTTAGTAATCTTATAATATCATGACGACATTGGGAATTTTCCGCTAGTTTCCAAGAGCCAAGAGGCGGGTCAGCCGGCAGCGGACTTGGCCACCATCGAGGCGAACTTGGCGCGAGGACACTACGAGACCGTGGCGCAGTTTGACGCAGACGTGTGCGCTGTGTTGGCGGCTGCTATGCGCGAACATGGCCGCCTTTCTGCGTTAGGAAGTGTAGCTGAGCTTAAAAAGGTTAGTAATTTTATAATGTCATGACGACATTGATGATATGAGCATTTACTACTAGTTGGCTCTAATTTTGTAGATCATCAAAGATCTGTTTTGGGAACATTTGCTGTGCGTCTAAAAAAATTGGTTTTCTTTGGATATTTAGAGAACAAAAGCTAGTTGAAGACTGGAAATCTGCAGAAGCAAAATAAGCGAGCAAGGCTTCGAGTAAATGGTAATTCAGTTACATTATAAATATTTTAATGTTCTTTTTCTGTCTTCGCAGGTGTACAACTCCGCTAAAACGGACCTCGCTGACCATTTGACAAAGATACTCGGCCCTGAAGAACCTTTGCCTACTGGATTCTTGCAAAAAGCTAAAACTGGTGAGTAGTGTATTTATTTACGAGTAGATAATTATATGAGAAAGTTAAAAACGCGCGAGATTATCTAACAGATTTTAGGGTTGTTCTGTTTTGTGTCTATAGTCTAGAAAAACTAGTTTTTCTTGATTAGGTTTCTTAGTCGACTGAGTAGCTGTTGCTGGCTACATAGGGTAGAATCAAGAGGTTAGTTCCGTAAAGTACTTTAAACATGTGATGCCTCGCAGATTATGATGTTAGGGCACAGAATAAGTAATAGTACAGGTACAGAAGGAATCTCCGCAAGACGATTTAAATAAATGCGAGTCTTGCTACGACGCGATACAGTGGAATTCAGCTCGCACAGCACTACGTAACCTACAATTGTATTCACCTACAAGTTTTGTCTCTTTCTATCGCGTGCCTCTGAACTCTTCTTACGCTGTTAGGGTTGCTGTCTAGTAGTGTCTAGTAAAAAAATAATTAATCTACTTATTTGTAATGAGGTATGTATGTAGGTAAGTACGCATTCATTATGGAAAACCTTGGGAGAGGCCTTTGTCCAGCCATGGACGTCATTTTTGGCTGAAACGAACGAACGCATTCTGAGCAGTTAGTCATGGTAGGTTAGGTTCCTATACTATCCTAAGAATTGTTGATTATCTACATGGCCAACATACCTTTCAACATCTTTGGGAAGCGAAAAAAAAGATAAATCCGGTAGATTTCTTTTCGAATTTAAACACCCGAACGCCGCACAGTAATATTTCTTTCTCTTTATGTCCATTTTTAAATAATACTTCGATCATAGAATTAGGTACTACAACGCATGCCAGCGTNTTCGAATTTAAACACCCGAACGCCGCACAGTAATATTTCTTTCTCTTTATGTCCATTTTTAAATAATACTTCGATCATAGAATTTGGTACTACAACGCATGCCAGCGTCCTGACGGGCGCGCGCGTGACACTCGACTGATATAATACCCGCCGGCGGGGCGCTTCGCTGTAGGTAATTATCGGATGTACCGCGCGGAGTGAGCCAGGCCTGATTAGGGGAAGACTATCGTCCTGTTCAAGCGTAGTTTATAATACGTTGTGTACGTCCACAGAGGAGGTGATAATGTGCATCTGCGGCCTGCACGTGGAGGAGGGGCTGATGGTGCAGTGCGGCGGCGCGCGCTGCGGCGTGTGGCAGCACGCGCGCTGCATGCGCGTCGCCGACACGCGCGCGCCGCACTACTGCCACCACTGCTCGCCGCACACCGCCGCGGTCAGTACACAGCTTTAATACTATAGTCTGGTCCGGGAGCACGTAGAATTTTGTCCAATGACCCCAAGCTACCCATCCTTATCGCTCGCGCGTAATTATATTGCTGTCGCGACTGTGCGACGGGCGCCCGCAGTGAGTGTTGACAAAATTCTACGTGCTCCCGGACCAGATTATACACTTCATTCGATACGGTATAAATGCCTACACCAAGGCCTGGTTTAGACAGCGATAATCGCGCGGCTACTGGCAACCCACGCGCGCGCCGCACTGCTGCCACCACTGCTCGCCGCACACCGCCGCGGTCAGTACTACTCATTCGGTAGGATTAGTGCCTACAGTCTTTCCCAAAGTGGGCGATAAAGCCCCCTTGTGGGCGCTGCAGGCTTAAAGGGGGGCGGTAAGAGACCCAGAAAAAAAAAATCGGGACGTTGTGTAGAGGCATGGGAGGCGTCATTTACTAGGAGGACACTTAGACACCGACTGAGCACTCGACACTCGACTACAAATGGGGGCGCTAAAAAGAATTTATTTTCAAAGTTGGCAGTAGACAAAGTAAGTTTGGGAACCGCTGGCCTACTAACTAAGGCCTGGTTTAGACAGCGATCATCGTGCGGTTACTGGCAACGCACGCGCGCGCCGCCCTACTGCCACCACTGCTCGCCGCAGACTTCCGTGGTCAGTACTACTTACCACTCCACCTCATCATCATCATCATCATCATCATCATCATCTGCGGGCTGCACGTGGAGGAGGGGCTGATGGTGCAGTGCGGCGGCGCGCGCTGCGGCGTGTGGCAGCACGCGCGCTGCATGCGCGTCGCCGACACGCGCGCGCCGCACTACTGCCACCACTGCTCGCCGCAGACCGCCGCGGTCAGTACAACTTACCACTACAATTGGACGTATAGTCCGATTTTTAATTCGACGGAATTCTGACAGCTGTCATTTTTTGACAATTCAGATGTAATAAGCCTTTTTTGCTTTGAATTATTAATAAATAATATGAAATGAAATTTCATCAAGTACAACTTACAAGAATGAACTATTGTTTGTTTTGTCAATTCAATGTACACTAATTATTATGTACATTTCAGAGATTAAATAGAAAAAAACGTGTTTTAACACAGTAAAAATTATTATCATAAACGAAAATTATGTTCTGATCATCAATAAATCATTATCGTCGTCATAATCAACTTGGATTATAAAATTGGCATCTTGTTAAATTGGTTATTTTATAAAGCTAAGATTTTATTAACAAAAGGATTTTCATAAAAAAAGGTTTGTAACCCATGGATTATTGGCCAGGGAGTCCAGTAATAGAAAAATAATTTCCCAACTTTTTTTGTAACTTCAAAAATATCATAATAAAAATTCAAATAACCATTTTGAAATGATCAGTACATTTTTAAGCCTTAGTTTTTCAAGTGAAACCTTAAATTCAAAAGAGGATTATTTTTTAATTTGTGAAAATGCTCTCCATTCATAATGGGAATGTTTCAATGTTGACAACACTTCTGAAATGTCAAAATTCCGTCGAATTAAAAATCAGAGTTTAGTTATGCTACAACGTTCCAACCCACACGCAAGTCGAACTGAGAAAATCGCGTTTTTGTAAATTTGTGGTACGCTTTTTTTTGGTAGCGAGTAGAACTGAGTAGTATGTATCACTTCAACTAAATAAATAAACGTTATTTTATTACATACTTGTCATTAAAATTGACTAATATTTCTCATACAAATTTTGAAAAAAATGTACTTGGAACGTTTTTGCAAAAAGGCTTTTTGTATGAAATTAGTTTTTACCTTAATTTGCAAAAACGTTCCAAGTACATTTTTTTTCAAAATTAAACATAAATTCCAAATGGAATGTCACATTTTAAGATTTTATTTAGATATTTTGGATCGTTTTATCATTGGGACCGCTTAATTATTTCATTAATTATTGTCGTAAGAGAGTCGGTGTCTTCAGCACTATAGTCTATCCAATATAGCTTGATTAGAATGACAGATGTCATCAAAAGTAACGACATAACTTTGTAGTAGCGTTCAATGAGAGCTAAATATTAGCGGACAAGAAATAATTCACGTCTGACCTACAAACAATATTTTCGACGACAGTGCTTCCAATAAAAATGATAATTTCGTGTAAATGCAGCGTTAAATTACACCAATAAGTAGTAATTCGAAATTATAAAAATCAAGCTAGAGTATTAACGACGTCTCTACAAGGTTATCTCGAGTTACAAAAATGTTAGTGTTGGGACATATCGACAAATGTCATATTAAATTAAAACTATTTTTTTAACATATTTAACAAAAAATTTTTCTAGCTAATTTTTTAACATATTTAAGTCAAGTTATACGTTTTTCTAAATGTTCACTATTAAAAACCAAAAAACATTTCATTCTTAAACAATCAAACATCGGAAATCAATCACCGGTAATTTTTTGGGTATTCATAGCACCGTTGCTCTAGAAGAGATGCCCACCGCCCTCTAGCGAGAGGAAAAAACCACTGAAGAACACTGATGATAATGACTACGACTTAGGTTGTACACCCTTGACATGATTTTTAAATTTTACTGTCTTTAAATTTAAATCATAATTGTCATTTTTATTAATAAAGATATGAAGAAAAATTGGGTGCATTTTTTTATATCATTTTTTCGAAAACTTATCGATACATCTATGTGAACCGTATGAAACATACCCATCACTAGTCACATTCGTTTGACAGCCGTCATTCTAATCAAGCTATATTGGATAGACTATAGATAGGGTGACCCAAAATACCTAGCTTGGGCTCGAAAACTCAATTTTGACCACCTTGTGGGTTGCATAACTACGTCCAATTATACCTCATTCAATATGGGATTAGTGCCTACGCTAAAACTTTCCTAAGTTGTCCATCCTCCTGGATGCACGGAGCAGGTGCCTGCTACGCACGCGTGCGTACGCCTGTTAATAAATGCACGCCCCCAGCCGCGCGTGTGGCACGCATCTCGTCGTGACACGGCGCTACTCATTCTATTTTTGCATATAGACACGCGTGTGTGTGTGCCCCGCATGAGATTTAGCGTAGGCCCTTAGTATTTCAACATGCGTACGATGATTAAAAAAAAGAAAATATTTACCAAAGAACAATAATTTATGATATAGATGACCCACGCTGAACTGTCCCACCAAACTCAATGACAGGGGGGCGCTACCATCGTTCAACTATATGGTTTCCAACATGGCAAAAATCTGAACCAGCGATCCGGTATTGACGGTGGCGCCCCACTGTCAATGTCATCGACAGGACAGTCCAGTATTTTGGAACTATATAACCATATTACTGTCATCATAATTATGCCAGTACCAATCTGGCATCGAATGACGCTGTACTGTTGTATTTAAGGTTTTACAAAAACATGTATGTATTTATGAAACAAACCAAATATATCTATGTCATATAAAAGTGTATATTGTAACTTCTTTCATCATGCACCAATACTTCTCTATTTACACATTATCCTAAATTACATTTCAACTTACAGAACGTCGACCGCGAGATCCCGCTAGACGACTACACAGAAGACGGCCACCAGTTCTACCTATCACTAATGCGGGGCGACCTCCAAGTCCGGCAAGGGGACACCGTGTACGTGCTGCGAGACATCCCTATTGATGAGAAGCACCCCGACGTTAGCCAGGCGAACGGGGATAAGACGGACTCGCCGAAAACTAAGAGGGTTGAGAGGAAGAAGGTCAAGAACATCGCTAAAGGGAAGACTGAAGAGGCTACTCAGAGCAAGGTGAGATAGGCTAGGATAGAGTTATTTTTTTTATCTGACATAGTAATGCCAATATTTGTTTACCACTAAAGCCCGGTCCGTGAGCACGTAGAATTTTGTCCAATGACCCCTAGCTACCCACCCTTGTCGCTCGCGCGTAATTATATTGCTGTCGCGACTGTGCGACTGGCACCCGCAGTGAGTGTGCAAGCGCGATAGATAGATAATTACGCGCGAGCGATAAGGATGGGTAGCTAGGGGTCATTGGACAAAATTCTACGTGCTCACGGACCAGACTATACTATTGCTAGTTTGTAACGTTGCTGCGTGGGATATCCACTCACAAGGTAGACCGACGACCTTATAAAGGAAGCTGCTGTATACAGGCTGCTGCCAAACGGGATATATGAAAATCATTAGAGGAGGCCTAACAGTGCCTCCCTCCCGTGGCTGAAATGATGATGATGATGGTGATAGCTGACTTAAATCCCACGGGGGACTAATTCCCCTTCTAGTTAGTGTGATTAGCACGATAATTCATTGTAGGAGCTATGTACTATGAACCACGCTTCTAGCTCCCCATTTCAGGTCATGTCGTCTCGTTCTATCGCAAAGAATCGCCATTTGATGAAAGTGGAACTGTGGCCCACTGTACGTTTATTTTGTAAATGTATTGATTTGAGCCGTTATTTCGCCACAGTACAAGCCTGCTCAGTAGGAGTCCTAACAACAGCCAGCTTACATTGTTCTGATTTAAATTAACCATGCGTCATTTGTTCCTAGGACGGCGAGGTCCGAAAACACACTTACCAAACGATCGGCGAGACAGCAGTGTCGGAGCTGGACATCTTCCGCGTGGAGCGTCTGTGGAAGCACAAGCACACGCGCGAGCGCTACGTGTACGGCCACCACTATCTGCGCCCGCACGAGACCTTCCACGAGCCCACGCGCAAGTGAGTGCTTAGCAGGGTTGTATGATTTAAATCACGATTTTTATTGCATGATTTTGAACGTTGGGAGTGCAAATCAACTGTAATGTTCGAAAACAATGTTAATATTAGGTATTCAAGTATGAAATAGCCGTTTTGTATGAAAAATTAGAAAAATTAAATTTTTCTATTGATTTTTTTTTTGCAAAATAATGAAAATTGATACTTGTAATAAGATATTCGTGTTTTTGTAATGGAAACGGACACCACTTAGGACGAGCTGTTTTTGACGAAAGTTTTTTCTTGTTTCAGTAAAAATATGATATATCTTCTTACATTGTTTTACTTTTTTGGCTTGTTCTCAGTACTATAAACATGTTTTCCACATGAAAAACTAAGGCGATGATTGCAAAAAAAAAACTTTTTCACAAAAACACTGATTTTTATGATTAAAATAAAAAAAATCGTGATTTTTTTCCACACTGGTGCTTAGCTACTGGCCTGAGTTACCCAGTGAGCCTAGCCGCAGACTACAGACTTTTCGTCGGCCCATTGTCGGGCCCGAATCTAATTTGTATGAAGAATCTGCTGCCAATTCTGTGGGGAATCGGAAAAAGCGAAGGGACAGAGGCCAGCTACTGCCCCGCCCTCAGGAAATTACCTCTACATACTTATCTTAAGTTTGGTCCCTGTGCCTTAGCTCTGGAGACAGTCTAATTTTGACACGTTGACAGTTTTCTGGGCTAAAATCCCCCCCACTCGTGGCCAGAAACTACTCTGTAGCTAAACAGTCGCCCGACAAGCGAATGATCGTGACTTCAATTCAATTTAAGGAACATATTTATGACGGAAACTTCGCGTTAGAACGATTAATAGTGACTAACACTTCGTAAGATAAATAATATATTTCTATAGTTGAAATAATACTAAGAAACCTTAACAAACCCAAAATATATTTTGCAATAATTTATGTAATCGTTATTCTTTTCAGATTCTTCCACAATGAAGTGATGCGAGTGCCGTTGTATGAAGCAGTGCCTATTGAGCTCGTTATGTCCCAGTGCTGGGTTATGGATCTCAATACTTACTGCAAGGTAAGATTTGCTAGAAATATCCCTTCAAGGTTTTATTGTTTATCACTTTTAATCATTTTCGCTTATTATTTACCTGCAGTCCATGTTCCAATGTTTATCTAAATATATAAAAGGAGAAACTGACTGACTGACTGACTGACTGACAGATCAACGCACAGCCTAAACGGCTAAACGTAGGCACTTGAAATTTGGAAGGGACGTAGTTTAGGTACCGTAGAGGTGCACTAAGAAAGGAATTCCTGAAATTCCCACGGGAACGGGAATTAGCGGAAAAATCCTTTTGTATGAAAAATCTAAACCGCTTAAGTTAGATGCTTGAAATTGAATGGTGTGCAGGTACCTTAGTAAATTTAAAGCTTAGGTACAACAGGATATCGTAAAATTCCCACGGGAACGGGAGTTAGCGGGAAAAAACATATGTATGAAAAAATCTAAACTGCGTAAGATAGAAGCTTGAAATTTGGCATGCAGATACCTTAGTAAACTTAAAGCTTAGTTACAACAGAATATTGCAAAATTCCTACGGGAACGGGAGTTAACCGCTGAAGATAGATGAAGGGGGTAAAACGGGATCCACGCGTACGAAGTCGCGGGCGGCCGCTAGCTATCATCTATCTATCTATATAAATAAAAATGAATTGATGTTCGTTAGTCTGATTATAACTCGAGAACGACTGGGCCGATTGAGCTGATTTTTGTTTTAAAATGTTTGTCGTAGTCCAGGTCTAAACGGTGAGTAAATACGCGCGCGATATTGTTTTTCTGTGACAGACAAAATTCCACGCGGGCGAAGCCGCGGGCGGAAAGCTAGTTATTTATAAAAGTTGGTTATCATGACAGACTGAAGGATAGTTTGAATAGTTAAATAAATTGATATACAGCAAATGAATCTTATCAAATAAATAATTGCATTTGCCTTAGTCACGTGCTGATCGACCTTTGCCTGTGTCACATGTATGTGTGGACTGTGGACACTTCTCACGTGACGCGAGCTTGTATCCTTGCCATGCCAAACATGCGTGTTCAACGTGTGACTTGCACTGGTCACGTCAACGCCACGCACGTGCATATAAGGCTGCGTTTCCACCAAAAATGTGCGAGGATGGGTAAGTGATGTGTTTGTAAAGAACCAATAAAATCGATTCATTCACCTCGTCTCGGTCGGAAAAAGTGGTACGTAAATGAAGCGATTCTATTGGTTCTTTACAAACACATCCCTCGTTACGCATCCTCGCAATCTCTGGTGGAAACACAGCCTTAAGATCGGACGCGGTGTTGTACGTCAATGAGATGCAGCATACAAAATGTACAATTGATATTTTAACGCTTTGTGTCGCGCCACTCAAGTGCAGCCAAGTCTTTATCTGGCAGTGAAACTTCCGACCGTCGTGTGCGCACGTGTCGAGCATTATGTAACTGTCAAATGTATAAATAACCTGAATCGGGGTCGAATTCGAGAAGGTTGTAGGCTACTAGGGATGAAACGAATTGCTTAGTCAGTTTTTATTCAATAGTATTCAGGCCTTTTCCAGGGTGCTTACTATACTTAGAGGCATAACCCTGCTTCTGACAAAGTCGGGTATAGTTCTAGAAACTCACGAAGGCGAGTGAGCTTATCTTGTGTGTGTACGTGTACGTGCACATAACGATAGTGTAATGTCATGTAATGTCTATCAAAAACATGTAAAGCTCGCCTTCGTGAATTTCATCAACAACTATAATACTATAGTCTGGTCGCTGAGCACGTAGAATTTTGTCCAATGACCCCAAGCTACGCATCCTAATCGCTCGCGCGTAATTATATTTGCTGTCGCGACTGTGCGACGGGCGCCCGCAGTGAGTGTGCGAGCGCGACAGCAACATAATTACGCGCGAGCGATAAGGATGGGTAGCTTGGGGTCATTGGACAAAATTCTACGTGTTCACAGACCGGGCTTTAGTAGTATTACCGGTGAATGAAGGCTATCGTTTTAGCGCTCACCAGTTAGCGTTACTATAGACTTGTAGAGTAAGGTCCTGTCACTTGCTAGTAGCGAAGACAGTGGCACCAACTTGTGAGCGCTAAGTGGTAGGAGGACTATCGCATTTGCACTCATCAAGATGGCGCCACTGTAGAGTAAGGTCCTGTCAATCGCCAGGGGTGCCAACTATTATTGAGCCCGATTTTAATTTGTATGAAGAATCGGCGTAGTGTGCGCACTCCCATACATGCCCATACTGATCAACTGCCCGACTAAACTATCGGCCGATAAATCAACGTTGTGCGCCTTACTCGATGTTTATGAAATCGTGATAACTAAGTTTATCTTTTTCTCTATTTAATATCCCATGAAATCGTCGTCCATGGTATTCCTAATATAAAAAAAAAGAAAATCTTTACAATGAAGGGCGGTATCTTATTTATCGATGGCGCCACTGTAGCAAGGTCCTGTCAATCGCCAGGGGTGCCAACTGTTAAGTATAAAAACGATAGCCCTCATTAAAATGGTCGTTCCAGGGCCGGCCGGTGGGCGCGGCGGAGCAGCACGTGTACATTTGCGAGCTGCGCGTGGACCGCACGGCGCGGCTGTTCACGCGCGTGTCGCGGCCCAAGTACCCCATCTGCACCAAGCGCTACGCCTTCGACGCCTTCCCGCAGCGGCTGCGCATCACGCGCACCTACGCTGTGAGTACCAGATGACTACCCGCTTGTGTTACAATGAGACTCCAGGGCTGTTCACGCGCGTGTCGCGGCCCAAGTACCCCATCTGCACCAAGCGCTACGCCTTCGACGCCTTCCCGCAGCGGCTGCGCATCACGCGCACCTACGCTGTGAGTACCAGATGACTACCCGCTTGTGTTACAATGAGACTCCAGGGCTGTTCACGCGCGTGTCGCGGCCCAAGTACCCCATCTGCACCAAGCGCTACGCCTTCGACGCCTTCCCGCAGCGGCTGCGCATCACGCGCACCTACGCTGTGAGTACCAGATGACTACCCGCTTATGTTACAATGAGACTCCAGGGCTGTTCACGCGCGTGTCGCGGCCCAAGTACCCCATCTGCACCAAGCGCTACGCCTTCGACGCCTTCCCGCAGCGGCTGCGCATCACGCGCACCTACGCTGTGAGTACCAGATGACTACCCGCTTATGTTACAACGTTGAGACTTCAGGACTGTTCACGCGCGTGTCGCGCGTAGAAATAAATGAATATAAACTAATATTAATGGTTTGTTTCAGCCTCACGAAGTGTCACCGGAATATCTGAAACCAAGAGGGAAAAGTGCTGCTATAGTTCCCTTTGATAAATCTAAGAATACCACAACGAAGGACGTGAAGAAAAAGTCTTTGCCAGCAGCTTCAACGTCCGAGAGCTCTAAGGTAATGATTACTTGATGATGATGCATTCATGACGTTATGAAATTCTATTGCTAGTGATAAAAGTCAATTAAAAAATACTCTTCTGCTTGAGTTGGCGGATGCACTTCCTTGACTCCAGGTGATTGATTGAACAGCCGTTAAATGATAAAGGAATCGTCTACACTAGTTTATAGTATACGATAGTTTTCAGCTTTTTTCTTGATGGTGTTTTATGTTACCATGATGTGAGAGAAAAGAAACAAAATTATTTGTATGTTTCACTGTACGTTACATCAGCGAAATAGTTCTCATTCTTCTCAGTAATAGCATAATTTTAATGAGAAATAATTTCAATGTGTTTCTTAATTAATCAAACTTGACCGTTATCGCAGGCCGCGAGCGCGTCTCTAACTCCAGCGCAACGCCGCGAGCGTCAAAAGGAGCGAGTGAACAACATCGCTCGCGCGCTGCTCGCGCGCCTCGGCTCGCGAGCGCCGCTCGACGCGTCCTACCTGCTGCGCGCCGCGCCGCGCCGCCCGCGCCCGCGCCCGCGGCCCCGCCACGCCTCCTGACCGCACGGCCACGCCTGCCCCGCCTGCGACCACTGCTAAAGCCCGCTCCGTGACCACGTAGAATAGGGACCTTTCCCTGGTCAAAAAGCAAGAGCTTTAATTAGTCCGTCAGTTGACTTACGCCCGTTTCCTATATTCAATCCTTGTCCAAATCCGGATTAGAACTGTCAAATTCGAATTCAGTTTTAGATTATATTTCCAAAATATTCGATGCATTTACACTTTAATATTGTTTATAGCCTGACCGGGAACATAAAAACCCTGGCATAGAGGCGCTTCAATTGCATTTGATAGTGCAACACTGGGTACAGTCGTACCTGTATTAAATTAATAGGCTAACTTTATGTATCAGGATTCAGGATTATAGGCTTATTTAATATTTTCATAAATTAACAAAAACGTATTATATTATAGGTCAACTGGTTTAAATAAATTAAATGAAACCATCAATCGAGCAAGTAGGATTTTATTATTATTCATCAATAATCAAATTCTGAACTTGAATATTCAACTACAATGTCTGCTCATGAACGCTTCAAGCTCGGTACTTCTTTCCCAATTCCATAAAATTCAATACTTACAAAGTGACAAAAAACTTTAAAATAGGTAGTTGACCACAGCTAATTTTCATAGTTGACTGTACTATACGATAAACATGTCAGTCAATTTGACAACCTTTGTCGGAAACATTATTCAATGAAAATATTGTCCGAACCCTTAGTATTTCTCTTCGACAAATACTTTAACACATTGTGAACCACTTTTCTTTCACGACTATATAAAGATTTTAGCAATTTAATTCACAAAATCAATTGCGCGCATTTAAAATAAAGTTTGTTTACACTCTGACAGCAATAGACTGACATGCAAGGTGACATGTCAATCAAGTTTTCAGTTACTGTTGCCATTAAAAGAAATTAGTACCATTAATTTTCCGCAACATGGCGAGGGTTTTTATGTTCCTGGTCAGGCTATAAATAGTCTTATAAACAATATAAAAATGTAAAAACATCAAAAACCGCAGATATTTTGGCCAAAAACATATTAAAATTTGACAGTTGACTGTCCAAATCCGTCCAATTTGGATTAGGATTGATTATAGAAATCCAGCATATCAAAAAATACTACTACACGTATTTTTCACTTTTTCAAACTAATGAAAATTTAAAGAGATAAAGCGCGCCAAAATTCATAAGAAGAGGCCCGTGACGTCAATGCTTGCATAAAAGTGCCGCACGTTGTGACGTCGTGCGGAACTTCAACACACCATAACTATGTAATTATTTGTTAGATTGACAAATAAAAATATATGTGTCCAGTATTTTTTGATATTAAACATGACGGACTAAAAAAATTTTTTTAGGACACTAGCCCATTGTGTCCAATGACCCTTAGCTACCCATCCTTATCGCTCGCGCGTAATTATGTTGCTATCGCGCTCGCACACTCACTGCGGGTGCCAGTCGCACAGTCGCGACAGCAACATAAATACGCGCGAGCGATAAGGATGGGTAGCTAGGGGTCATTGGACAAAATTCTACGTGCTCACGGACCAGACTATAGATACGCGATCTGTAGCCGCATTTCCATCAGAGCTGTGAAGATTGAAGGTATAAGCTCGCGAGTTGAATGCGGTTCCAAAAAGTCTGTATTCAACTCGTCTAGTTTGGCATGATCGACTTTCGTCCTTTATACTTCAACACCGCGAAACTGCATTTTCGTAACTTTACAGGAGAGAAGAAAAACGATATATTTCATAAAATGTCATAAAAGTAGTCATATTTTGGTTTATTAATTAATTATTATCATACACATAATAAATAAACAAGGATCTTGACTTCTATTTTGACATTTTATGAAAATATAATCGTTTTTCTTCTCTCCTGTAAAGTTACCAAAATGCAGTTTTGCGGTGTTGAAGTTGGCCATGAAGGTATACGGCGCGCGAGTTGAATGCAGGTCGCTAGAGAAGTAAGTCTGCATTCAACTGGTCTAGCTAGATGTGATCGAATCATGAAAATTTAGGGTGCCGCACTATGTGACGAAAGGCCGATCTAGATGGACAATATTATTTGACAACATTAATTAGCTTTAAAGGCGGTATCTATTGATGATTTGACTATATATAGCAAAAACATGTCATGTTTTGGTACATTTAACGCTATAATACATAAACCAGTATACGTTGATACACGGTTATAAAGAATTACTACCTGATAGGAGGTCAGCTTAAAATGGACATTTTTCTAAGAAGAAAAACAAAGCTGAATTCTTTATGGCAATTGAAAATAAATAAAAAGGATGAGTGAATAAAAATATAGAATGCCATGCCAGCCACTTTCCAGCCAATTGTTACAACAAATTCGGGAAATGTTCATTTCAATATTTCATAACTCCTCCGTTACCTCGTAAGTTTCGTATTTTATCGAAATATTCATTCCGCTTATTTTTTTCATTTTTGGGATATTTTATCCATTGTTCGTAGAACTCCCTTCGGGATATAAATATTACGTATTCTGAAAAAAAAA